CCCCCCCCCCCCCCTCTGCCATACATTATGAATGCAGCCTTAAAAACTTGTGATTCAGCTGATGAACATTATGACAAGAAATTCAAGACAGTAAATGATGTCTATTGAAACCCAGCAGTTGCAGCCTTTTTGTAAATCTTTTTTGTATAAATGTTAATGTGTTTTTTCTATACAGCCTGATCAAGCAATTGACAGTAATAGAGAGTTCCAGAAGAGGGTTGTGGTAAGTGCTTTATTAACCAGGAAATATTTTATTAAACAACAGTAACAGAAGTGAGTAGAACTCATTCATGAAACTAATGGTCTCAGTGCTTGAGTGCTAGAGTCAGTGCTAGAGTCATCTCATAGACTTGCATTTTCCTTGAATCTGATGCGAAATCTTGTGTTTTTGAAAAGTACCAATAGTAAAGCACCCTTATTATATTAAGATCTTGGGCTCACGATATGGTCTCACAATACTTCACATACAGCAAGAGTCCTAGCATTGAGGGAACGAGAGGCACAAGAGTTACCACAAAATCCACAGGGATCCCATGAATATAAGCCATCTATAGATCCATTCATGTCAAACTGGAACACCCCTTACCCCTCACCCCTTGCCCCACCCTCCCATTCATTCCACTGATTAGCTTAACTGTGAGCTCAACTAATTTGTAATTTCATCAACAGAATCAGCAATTCTCATTAAATGTTGAATACAAGTCTCAAGGACAGGTTAGCTTATATTTTTTAATTGTGAATTTTTTATTAGCCCCTGTAGTAGCGTAGCCAATCAGAATGTGTAGTGTACAAGTTTCATTTAACCTGACATGTGCTATTCTGTTTGCAGGAGTTTGTAACATTGATGGCTGACACTGTTGATGTTGGAAAGGCCTTAGTAGCTGAAGGTCTTGTTCTTGCGGAGAAGCGCAAAGAGAAGAGATTACAGAAGCTAATGGCAGAGTACCAGAATGCGCAAGAAACAGCTCGTAAAGCTAGGGTAAATAAAATATTTTTTTCACTTCCATTCTATTCTATTTTATCTCATTACTCAGCTAATATTTTTTCCATCATGCTTTCTCTTGTCGTCATTCACTTCCATTCCCATTTATGTTTCCCACTTTTCATCCACTTTCATACTTATACTATGCTCCTATTTTTCCATCCCATTTATTCTTTCCTTTCCTTTTCAGTTGCTCCCATGCACTTCAAAGCCCAGTATATATTTCATATTCTCCCCTGTTTCTTCCATCCTTATTACTCTCCCATTTTCTTTCCCATTTTCTTTCCCTTTCTCATTTCTGAAACACTTTTTTCTCTCCAGCTGAATCTCTGGCGTTATGGTGACTTTACTGATGACGATGCTCGTGAATTTGGATACCCAAACAATTAAGCAACAGATCAAATAAATGACCATAAAAAGTAGCTATTAAATATTGTGTATTAAACCTACACATATTACTGACCCAATAGTCTATCTGCAAATATTTTCATCTTGGACAAGAATAATACCTTGTTCAAGGATAACTAAAACTGATACAGAAATGAAAGTATCGAATTGCGTCATTTTATAAAGGTTTCAATACTCTACTCGATATTTGAATCCTACTTATAACAAATAATTATTATTTGTGGGAAAAAACAAAATTAATATTTACATATTATAGAAAATAATTATCCATTGTGTGATATCGTTTTGACTTGCTATAAAAATCAAAATTATGTCACCTTCAACTTAGAAAGTATTAAAAGCGTACTAACATCATGTCTAAATCTTCAACCATCTATATTTTATTACACATTTTTTATGGGTCATATCAGAAATAAAAATAAAACTTACAAATTTTCTGAACTACTTTTCATTTCAGCATGGACTATAGCCCATGGTTTTGATCGATTTTGGG